CTGCGACGGGGTGTGCCTTAGCACCTTGCTAATACAGGGCAGTACAGGCTGGCGGCTGGAAGTTGACAGCTGCTCTTGTCCATTTGGTGCCACATCAAGCTTGCCGCGACGTCATTTCACTGCCCCCCCCCTTCTCCCCTCACTTTGCTCCTGCTCCTGCTCCCTCGCTGGTATGGTAATATCAATGCGCCAATGCCCATGCCAGTGCCACATGCTAGTGCTGCATCTCCTGCGTACCTGCTCCCGTGTGGCCCCCTCCACATCCTAATTGGCACCAGCGCCCCCGCAAGGGGCTCTTGCCAGCTGAACAGCTTGCTTGGCTTGCTTGTTAGCCTGCTGGAGCTTCCATGTCGAGTGATGTAACGAGGAGGCCGGCCGATGCTGTGGTAGGCTGATGCCACTGCTGGGAGGCCATCTCCGGCGCAATGCCCCTCTTTTCACCTCTGTGCCCTGCTTCTGCTGACCACAGGTCTGTCTCACCTTGGCAGCTTGCCTCGCTATATATTTCATCCATTGCCCAGTCTTGTACTGTTTGCTTCTTCATTCCCTCTCGTCTTCGTCATCACCCAAGAATCACAAGCTTGTCATTCCCCATCTCAACTCCAACAACCAAAAACCAACAACCAACATGGACTTCGTCAACAACCTCACCGGCGGCGGCAACAACACCCAGAACCAGCAGGCCACTGGCTCCAACGAGCAGCAGTCGTCGGGCGGCGGACTCATGGACAAGCTCAACTCGGCTGCCGGCGGCGGCAGGGAGAGCGAGAAGAACGAGGACTTCGTCGACAAGGGTACGACATGTCCTGTCTCTAACACACACACACACACCCCTCCCCATGCTGACCACCATGCTAGGCGTCGACTTTGTCCAGGAGAAGTTCCTCGGCCAGGGTGCTCAGGACAACGAGAATGCCATCGAGCAGGCCAAGGACGAGCAAATCTCCGACTTCATCCGCGGCAAGTACAAGGAGACCACGGGCAGCGATGTCCCCATTGCCGATAAAGTACGTGAACATGCCTGTCTCCCCGAAAGAAACTGCCGTTTGCTAATGTTTGCGCAGTAAATGTAATCAGTCCCCATCGTGTGGACCTCTGCTTCTATTGTGTTCTTCGATTGTGTTATAGGGATGGAATTTCGCCGTTGGGAACCGGTTTTATGAAGCTGCAGAACTCCTGCCATAATCACGAATTGATGATTTCAAAGCCATCCACCCGTCTCGCGTAGTTCGTGCGTCAGAGTGTCCGGGAAGCATATGTTATTCCGCAACGTGCCTCCAGTCACCAGTCATCAGTCCGAGCCCTTGGACAGCCAAAGAGAGACCTTCACATGTCGCCTTGGCCACACTCCCACCAGCCGTGCTCCAACTTCTTTGTTCCCGGCGGTGCCAATACACGTAGTTCTGCGCTCGTCTGGATTCAAGGCCTGTCTTTCGAATAGAATCTATCTATTTTGAAATGCCTCAAAAAAAGGCATCCCTAGCAGCGCTCGCATCTTACATTTACCTAAACGGTCATCTACATCAACTGCGCTCGCTTTGATGACCCGCAAGTCCGCAGAAAGGTCTTTTGTCTGATAATCTGCAAGCCCACGCCCAAGCCCAAAATCAAGTCTCGCTTCTGGGCGGCAGTATTTAACTGAGGGACACGGCGAGACACAGCCCGTACACCCAGATCTAAGATCATAACGTAATGGTAGTTCACTGGCTACTCCAGTGCCCGGGTTGTGGCAGTAAAATCGAGAGTACTGCCCTTGCTCTGAAACATATGAATGGCTCATTCAAACGAGAGTCTCGACGTTGTGACCAAGGTACACGTGTCGGTGACACGATCATGTTCAAGTCGTGATAACGCTTTTTGGGTGGAGAGCACGATGACGTCGTGTGAAGTGGGCTCGCTGTCTCCAGCCACGAGCTCCACCCCCTGCAGAGTGTGGCTGGAACACCGTGAACCGCACTTCATCAGGACAAGACGGAGAGAAGGAAGCACAGCTGTCTCTCAGATCAGAATCCTCGTTCTCGTTCACACACAGACCCAACCCCATGGCGCCGCCATCAAGAACCCCGGCCAAGGCGGCCCCAAAGTTCGTCCATTGCGTCGGCAACCCCGCCTTCAACCCGGAGGACTACATCCAAGACACGGCGCGCCAGCAGAGGGCGCTCGACTATCTCAAGAAAGACGACCTCTACTATGCGTCGCTCGTCACGTTCGGCCTGCCAGAGCGGGACACGTACACCTACCACGCCATGACGGCCGTCAAGCTCGGCCAGGTCCAGCACATCGTCACGCTCGGCGGCGCCAACGACCTGCACGCGTGGTACCGCGCCGCGCCCGAGGACGACAGCTCCGGCCCTCCCGGCGCGCTGCAGCCCCTGCCGCCGCCGCCGCCCGCCGACACGGACGCCTACGTGGCCGTCTTCGCGCCGCACACGCAAACCGCGTCGGCCCTCACCTCGCTCGTTCTCCTTCGCGAGAAGGCGTTGGATGCGTGTTGGTCTTGGGCGCATACCAAGACGTCTCCGGTGTCCTCGTGGGGCATTCTATGACGCCGATTCACAAGCTGCGTTGAGCTGACAGCCAAAGGGAGC